TGTATGTATGTATGTATGTATGTATGTATGTATGTATGTGTGTATGTATGTATGTATGTATGTATGTATGTATGTATGTATGCATTTATATTTATACCCCTAATCCACTTGCTTTGCCTTATTTGTTTAAAGTTTTTGAAAATTCACTGCACTTTTTTGTACAAAACAGTACCTGCAAAATGCTTTAAATATATTTGAGTCATGATTACATTTTGTGCATAATAATGAGATTAATCAAGAATTCAATGCGTTTTTATTGCCATTCCAAATGAATGCAAACAAGGGACGAACAAATAATAGATGCTGAGGTCGCTGTTGTTGGCAGTGAAAAAAAAACTAAAAAGAGATAAGCAATAACAAAATAAAAAGTAAAAATGTACATAGTGTGCATTGTGCACATGGTGTTTTGCAACACACAAATGCACACATTCAGCCATAGTGGCGTAATAGTTTCTAAAAAAAAAAACAAGATTAATCTCGATTATTCGCAAAACTATTTTGAGAAATTTTAATCTAATCCCAGCATTAACATCAGGACTAAACTAGATGTTAGTTTCAAGTTATTTTAGTGAACGCTGTGGAGATTTCTTTCTCTATCCAAACGGAATAAACAAATTAATCTGCATCTGCATGTAGTTTAAAAGTTGTCCAGGAAGTTGGCATCAAACTTATTTAAATAAGCAACTATTGACAATTGAAGAAACCTCACCAGTGTATCAGAAATACCTTTTTTTTTTCCACAACTGGCACGACATTTGATCTTTTTAGAGGTCATACATCAGGCTCGGGCAAAAACACAGAGCGATGAACACATTATTCTGAGAACATCTCCTTTGACGATGCCCATCTATTTCGATAATCAGTTGACTATTGTGCCAGTGCAGCCGCTAAAAGGGGGGCCGGTGATTTATTAGGATTGACCAATTTTGAGTCACATCATGTGCTGCCTTGTGAGGACAAACAGAGGCGTGACTGGCGGTGCAGTCAGGCATGTTATCAAATGCCCAAGCTTGATTAACGGCTCATCAACATGCAGAATTAAACAGTCTGGCTAAACGCTACCCCTTTACCCCCGACGTTACACACTCGTATAAAAACCCCCATCTTCCTGCAGGGATTTAAATAAACTTCAACACATTCTCTCATGGCAGAGAGTTTCAGATAGTTCAATGAAAAAAATGTACAGTTTCCTAATAAGACACTGAACAAGTTTAATATCAAAGCCACAGAAAATAGACACAAAGAGCTTCGAATCACATTTCAGTACAGTAAGCACTCCATGCTGAACCAGTGGGAGACACCAAAAGATATAGTGCGGACACAACAACTCTTATCATGCATATTTAATGAGAATCATGCAGACAAAAGGAGGAAAAAAGGAGGGAGGTTGGACTACGTGGTGCTGAGTGTCACTTTATGTGACACAAAGCAGCTCGAATGATTCACTTCTAATAAAAACAAAATAAGAATATGTGTTTCACATTTCAACTGGTCTTGTTTGTCTGTTCTGTCCAAACTCCCTGATTAGGTGGAGCTGGTGGATCTTTATCATTTTTGAAGAGATTTAATTAATGTCTGAACCGTTTTCCTCCAGCCTTGCTCTCAAGCATGAATATTCATACAAATGCTTCGCTGTTATTTGACGGAGCTGGCTGGTTTTTGCCACGCATCAAAGTCAGACACATCAGTAATGAAATAAAAAAAGAAAACTTTTTTGTTTTAGACATCAAGTCCAGTGTTTCTAACTGACGATGGGTGAAAGTCGGCTGCTTTGAACGCTCACAGCGGAGTGCTCAAGTATGTCACTTGCAGGCCACCGTTACATGCAGGCAACAGGATAGAGGATCCGGGAGGACAGGGGTCACCGGGGGACAGACTGGGGTCGGGTGCCTCTACTTTCCTTGTGGGGGACTCGGGCTTCTCTGGAGCCTGTGTCACACAACTATCAGCAACAGCAGCAACAGCAATGCTGAAGGGAGTGGAGCGGGAGACAAAGAGCAGTTACTTCGGCATCAGAGAGAGAGAAAGAAAGACAGATTAGCAAGGAGGGAGGAAGAGACAGAAAGCAATGGGAGCGGTAAGAGTCTGTGTGATTCATCTCTCTTCAAAAGGCACTGCAGACAGAGGAGTGAGATTTCTGGGACTTAATGTTGGATCTGCAACCTCCAAAACTACACAGCAGGAGGAGACCAATAACCTGTCAGGATGGCAGGGGGGGATTTTTAATGTATTCACTTCAATTTTCAGAGTTGATAAAGGCTCTTGTGCACCCTCAGATGGATTCTGTAGCACCCTAACCCAGTTGTTTAGGCAATTTTCCAAGCTCCTGCCCACAGAAGGATCATTTCCAAGGGAACAGGGTTTGGATCTTGAGAATACTTAAGAGCATCATGGAAACCTTGGCAACCACTGAGCCATTTGCTGTCGCTGTGTGTTTAAAATAATAGCTTCAATCTTTTCTGTCTTCGTTTGGAGCAGATTTCTGTTCGATGATCCTGGAAGGTTGTGATAACACAAGAAGTTAATTTAGATTTTTCACAGCTCCGATGCTTCTTGTTCTGCTCTTAGTGGTTGTTTCCCCCCCCCCCCCCCCCCGTGAGTGTGGGCAGCAGCTGGCAATGTTAAAAACTGTCATGGCCTCTGGTTTGCAGGCACAACAGAATCACTTAGCTGGCTGGAGGTGGAGTTGCAGAAGTAAACAAAACCCGTGTTAAAAGGTCCCTGAAGTTGCCGTCAACAGCAGTTCTTGCAAACATAATGCAATAAAATAAATCTTTTTTCCCTTTTTGTTCTAAACAATGACTAAACTATATCGCTTTGCAAGATTCAGACCAAAGTAGATCAATATTTGAATCATCGTGCACCGCTGATAATGCTAAGCTGCATGGATTCTGGGCGAGCCTGCCTCCAAATCCAGCCATCAGATTACTAACAGGCTCTTCATGATTTCAGATTAAATAAATTTGCATAATTCTCTGATGAGTTTCTCAATAAAAATTTAAAAGCAGCGCAACCTCTGGATCTGCAGCCTGATTAACAATCCTGAAAAATCTGTTTGACTTTAAGATCAAAAGCATCCGGTGCAGGTGAAGAAGAGACGGATTCATTTCCCTGCAATCAGTCCTGATTAGAACAATGGTGTTTCTGCTCAGATCAGCCCGTATTACAATCAGGAAGCTTCTTGTTAGCTATAATCATCGATTCCATGTGCTCTTCAAACTGAAGACGATTTTTTTCTCCTTCCTTTATTGCTAATATAGGTGTAATTATTGTGTTTTAGTGGAGGAGCCAAAGAAAACGAGAGTATTCACTCCCAGGATGAACGGGAATGAAGCGACACACACACACAAAAAGTGTGCCGCTCTTATCGAAGTGTTTTTCTCCTGTGGACTGACAAGAGTGCACACCTAATCTTGCAACATGTCCAGCCCCCCCCCCGGCAATATTCTGTGGTGCGAGCCGGGTACTCACAGGTCATTATCTGTCTCGGTGCGAGTCTTCTGCTGCCGCCGATGGACCATGAAAACAGTAACAGCCACACCGATGATGAGTCCAATGGCAACAACCCCTCCAAGGATCCCGATAACACCACCTGGGGGACCCTGCGCCATTGGTTTCTCTGCAGACAAGAAGAAGGAGAAACCATTATCAGGCTGGTCCTCCTTGAGTAACTGATGGAGCCAGGTTGGGGGAAAAAAGGCAAAACACAAAGAAACCAGCAGAGAGGGGAACAAAAGAATAATGCAACACTCTGTTTTTAAAACATGTTTGAGGCTTTTTTATGACAGGAAAACGTTTTGTTGTAAAAGTCCAGACCTATAAACTGCCTCATGTCAAACATTAAAGCAGAAATGTCTCCAACAAAACAATAGAGTTTTGGAAAAGGAAAATCTTTTGACACAGCTTTTTTTTCCTGGCTTCAGACTTTCTGTCAAAAAGAAAAAAAAAACATCCAAATACTATTTCTGGACACTTATTTCAGTGTGGGACCATTGTCCTGCATGACTTGGCACGGCATGAATGCAACACTGTTGTGGACACTCTGCAGCTGCTGTCACTGCTGCATTTTTAATGTGTGCTCCAGTAACTGTTCAAAAGAAGCCTAAATTGATTTGGATTTGACAGTCAACCCAAATAAGAGCACGACAAACCTGATGTTTTCTGGAGTCTCTGCTAATAAAACATATATTTCCAGTGTTGTTCAAACATTGAAGCTCTTTCTGCAGAAGGTAAACATGGAAAAGTTGGTCTACAAATGTCACTTTGGCTGACTAATGAAGGAGACACAGAGGTCTGACTCGATACAGTAAACACCACAGATTGTTGATGTTACTCAGTGCGCTGTGTTCCCCCGCTCCTCCGCTGCTGAAAGGTACTCATTAAAAAAACGTGACAGGGATTGCAATTAAATTCAAATATTCAGTGGCACCTATGCTGCAGAACATGGATTGGTCTTATTTAAAATGAATTGAAGCACAAGAAACCAGACATGGTAATTTATTGTAAAATACTAAACTGCACCATGTAAAATGTTAGAAAAGCTGCACAGCTTAACGTAAATTACTGTAAAATGCAGGAAAAGGGCACAGCCTCAAATGAAAGCAGCATCGCCTACAAGAATGACATGAAAACTAGATACCACATGGCAAGAAACTATTGTCTTTATATTTACAGGTCCTTGAGGTACTACAGATGAAATCTAGCCTGCATGTTCTGTCCTTTCTTAAATAAGAAAACAACAACAAACAACAACAAGAACATAGTGGCAGCATATACGACCCATGAACGCAAAGCACCGATGCACCAGAACTCACCAGAACAGATTTTTTTTTTTGGGGGGGGGGGGGGGGCTATTGTCTGTCCAGACACCCCCCTTTTAGATGGAGCCCCTCCTCAAATATGGGGTCTATCGTAAAACAACTGGCGGACGCAGTGAGGGATGGACTCATCTACAGTCCTGCAAAATTTCATGTTGTTCATTTCCGTGCTACGGTTGACCAAAAATCACTTAAAGGGCCAATATTATGTGTTTCTCAGGCACATATTTAAATACTATACCATAATAAAGTATCTATGTCACCTTTAGTTGTTATTAAAATGCTTTTTTATGTTTAAATAGAAAATAAACTAATCTTCTCATCACTTCCTCTTCTAAACGCCTTGAAATTGGCCTCTGTCTCTTTAAGAACCACCTTTGCTTCCCATTTCAGTGCGGGGTGGGGGGGGGGTAGTTATGATGCTGTTTACTTGGCATCTGAAAATACATTTCCTCAAAGGTATTTTAAATCTGAAAAGAGCGTCACTGAGTGAGAAGTAGTGGAGCTCAGCAGAGTTTAAGTTTCACTTTCACTTTCACCCGAGAGCCTGCAGGAGTCATGGGCGGGGTGTGTGGGGAGGGGGGAGGGGGTGCGCTCTGCCATGAGGAAGCTCGGCTTAAAGACACGTCTCAGGGGCGTTCCTGGTACTAAAAGGTGTTTCTGGTCCCCACCTGTTGTTTTGCTCCTCAGCATGGCTTCCTAAAAACGCTGCAGGATTTCTCAAACATGCATGAGTCAGAGCAAGGCTTCAGGCATGTTTTTTTTGAGAGTATAACATTATAACATGATACAAAACTCAAAAAAGTTGAATTTACATGATATTGCCCCTTTAAGAAAAAACAAAATAAAAATAAATAAATAATAGAAACAGGATGAAAGCATTATGAACTCCCACTTCACATGCGGGGGCTCATAATAATTCAGTTCTACTAAATTTATCGGGGTGCAAAAAAGACAGATTGGAACTGGACCACAGTTCACCATTCATGAAAAGTTTTAAAGGGACAATCAGAGGGTATCTCTCTGCCAGTGGAAGGAGAAATGTAAAAAGAGAACTTTTTCATGCTGATCTAAAATATTTTAACTAAACTTAATGAAAGAAATTAGATTAATTATCATCTTTTTGCACAAAAGGCCTGTTGATGTTATTTGACGTGTTATGAACAATGAATCTGGTTGCATGTGATCCGAACACATAAAACAATCAAAGATTCATCTGTTGTCACAAAGATATAAAGCTCAATGACTGCTGGTCCCATGTGAGTCCCCGCTCCTGTTTCAGCTAATGTCAGGTTTGACTAAAATAGACGAGCGATCTTTTTTTAGAAGCATAAAGAGTTTTTATTTTCTGCAGGAAAAAAAAACAGCTCTGGTGTCTGTTTCCTTTGACAAGAGCAATTAAAGCTGTCTTTTTAAACACATGCTGGGGACTAATCAATGGATTCGAGCCTGTCCTGATGGGACGCCGCAAAATCTCACTATCTTTCAATTTGAAAAGAAAAGCCCATCTCCTGCCCTCATGATGTCTCCATTATTATTTGTCCGTCCCTCCCTACAGTGACAGGACAAGGCCCCGCTCCCAGGATGCCACTTCTCAACAGCCCCCGCTTGGTTGATTCACTGCTCATAATGATGGATACACAGAGGACCACACACCACACAATGGCGAGCACGTTAGCCCACCTTGTAAAAAGTGCCCTCTGCCTCCGAGTCAGAGATTATATGTCGTGTTTGTCAGGATGTCATGTCAAAGTCGCTGCAGTTGATCTAATTTTCGGTCTTTTCACTCCTAAAAAGTCTCTCCATGTCAACCTCTCGCACCATGAGGAAGTAAATAGTTTCTTTTGTCGCCGCACACACATTGCTTTTGATGCGCCTCAGTCAGAATCCTGTGGAATGGCTTTAAAGTGAGACGCTGCTGCAGTGAGGCTGCAGATAAACCACAACTCCTACTGTTGTCTCATCGAGCCACGTAGTGAAAGCCAGTGGGCTGAATTTCATGGTCCTAATGCAAATGCCAGACACAATAGCGTGTTGCATAACACTAATACGCAGAGGAGTGGACTAGATCAGAATGCAATTTCCCTGTTGTGGAGCCGTGGGCACAGGATTTACACTGTCACCTCCCTACACATGATGCTGGGGGAACCATCTGCTGCACAGTCAAAGCGCTTTGGCTGCTTCTTATGTGGCTGAAGACTCATCAAAAATTCAAGCTTTAATTTTCTCTACACGAGTCCGACATTAAAGCGTCGCCACTCCTCGCGTGTTCGCGCTGTTTGTTTTCTGGCACCGTTTTGCGAAACGTTGCGGTCGCAGGTGTGGATGGCAGCGAGTTTTCTGCATGGCGAAACAAACATCAGAGTCTACGCACCTCTAGTCTCTGAGCATCTACAGTTGTGCTGAGCTGGGGGTAATTTTATCACAGAAGCTTAGCCTTTCTGTGGTATATGCAGCCAACAGCACACCTTCAAATTCAATTAACCTGAGAAAGATAGTCCAACTGTAGCTGATAACTGGTGCCTGACCATTAAATTACTGCAGAGAGCCTGTGCAGGGGAAGGAATTAAGTGTGAATTAGGAACCCTCGTGGTCCAACTACAAAGGTCAGTTCTGTTAAATAAAATTTCTTCATCTTGACTCTCAGTGCATGAATTGTTGATGACATTTTTAAATTTAGAATGAAGGAAAAGAGGAACTCTTCTTAAAAAAGCACTTTTTCATGTCGTGAACTCGGCTTCGAGATGAAAGCAGCGGAGAAGCAAAGTTATTGAAAAGTGTGTTAATAAGAGTGGAGTTCAAGTGTCCAGGAAGCGAAAGGAGCTGACGTTAAATGAGTCCTTGATGTCTTAATAGCTGAACTCAACTCTTCTCAGACTCAGTACCGTGGCCCTGACATTTAGTAGCAACTAGAACTTCCTCTCTGTGATTCCCTGCAGCGAGAAAACCGAGAGATTTGTCTTTTCGAACGAGCGGTTGACTGCTAATACTGAAGTAACTAAGTGTGGTGTCTGGATCCATGTTTTCACACCACCAGCAGGTCAGAACCACAACTTCAGGCGCTTCTCATCAAACCCAAATTAAAAACTAACACTCATGTCTTATAAAAGGGAGAATCTGTCTTATTTCAGCACACAACATGCAGCAAAACATGCTGTATGAACTTGTTAGCAATAATCTGCAACATATTACAGTTAAGTGGTAATTTTAGGCTTACTGTTGGGAAAATATCATTATTATGATTCCCATATACAAAGTGGGTCATATTGTTTTCGTACTGTTTATTTATTTATTTATTTATTTATTTATTTATTTATTTATTTATTTATTGTAAACCACATCACAGAAATGGCTGCACCGATCAACATGAAATTTGGCAGGAATGTAGATGTGTCCGACCTACACTGCGCCAGCCAACAGTTTTACAATAGACCCCACACTTGTGGAAGGGGCTCCATCTAAAAAGGGAGAGTCTAGACATACAAAAATGCTTATAACTCAAAAACGTTTCAACATAAGAGCTTCAGATTTTGTGTTGTTCATCTCTGATGAAGCGCTATCCATCAGGTCTACCAATGAGCCCCCCACCTCACCCCACCCACCCACCGGACACCCACCCCACCCAAAAAAAGGGATGTCCGGGGATACAGAATTGCTTATAACTCTTATAATTTTCTGGGTATTTCAACTTATTGTCATTCTGTCCACATAAAAAAAAAAACAATGTGATTTTTGTGTTTCTTCTGTCTCTGGTCGCCAATCTCTGAGTTAAAACCACGAAAATGGTTATTTGCAGAAACAT